ATAATGACTGGGAAGGGATCAGGGCCTGATCCCCGAGTTATGCAAACATGAGCAAGCAGCTGCTCTGGGTGGGTATGAAACACCAGAGTCCAGTTCCCAAATTCTGCTGACTCAGCTGCACCAGGAGCATGCCAGCTCCTCAGAGCTCCTCATGGAAGTTGCCAGGGATCAGCACAGTCCAATCCATTAGCTATTAACTATTGCTCTTAATAATGACCAGTGTCAAGGCCGTGCAGTGGGATGGACAAAACACGAGGATTTGGTCGTGCCATTTGTCATTCCAGCCTGGGAGCCCTTCTCTTTTGTGGAATGTTTGCTGTTATTCCAATAGTTGAAGAAATAATAACATATGGGTGATATATATATTCCATATATAGGTAATATCTTCCCCTCCCTGAAATCCTTTTAAAGCAAGACCAGCATGAGGGGTTGTACTGTGAGGAGGAGCACTGGCATTTATGCTAGGGGTGATTTATGGAGGTGCTGAAGACCTCTTTGCTCCCAAAAAAGGGCACAGCAACAGATTTCTTCCTGCACAGGACTGGGTTATCCCCATCTTTACTTTGCTCATCAAGGTCACTGCATGTATTACCTTACTGTGAGTTTTGTTTGCTGTAGTGGGACGAGGAAAAGCCACCATTTCACCCCAATTTCATGGAGTTAAGAATGAGGAATCAACTCTCAGATAAAAGATCAAGCTGACCTAAACACATGCAGAAAATAAACATTTCCAGTTGCAAACTCCTTCACAATATGGAAAAGATAAATAGAAGGTGCTCCTTTTGTGATACCTGGGCAGAACTTAGTGAAGATTATCAAGATATATGAAGAAATCAGCAGTTTTTAGGAATTTCTGCAGTGTTTGTGACCCTCCTAGCTAAGACTGTTTGTCAGTTAAACACTGCCCTGCATGAGCAATATATTCCAGAAAAGAAATTAAACAGAACAATCGGACATCCCTCATGGCAGTGACTGAAATCCCAGCTGAGATTGTGCTGTTGGCCTAATTTTATGTTCCTTTAAGCTGTTAGATTCATCAACATGTGACCTAATTTTATATTCCTTTATGGTGTTAGGTATCCCATGCACCAGCTTGTTGCTTTTCAGATAAGAGTGTCATGGCTCACTTGTTTCTTGGACTGGAAAGTGAAACCAACTTTGACACTATTAAACTATTCTATAGTTGAATTAAACTATTCTACAGTTTAATTCTATTTAATTATTTATTTTATTTAATTTTTATTTAATTGTTAATATTTAATTATTTGATTATTATTTAATTTAAGTATTTAATTATAGTTTAATATTAAACTATTCTATAGTTTATATAATATATAATATATTATATTCTATATATAATATATTATAATTCTACTCCTACTGCAGGGAGCAGGAACATCTTATGGCCCAACTCACTGTACAGCCCCTGGATGGGTGGACAGTGCCAGTGCAGGATTCATGAACAATTAGGAGGTGATACTTCTCTGTGCTTCAGATGGAATGTATTAAATCCTATATGAATGTTTTCTTTGCAGAGTGAGAACTCAGGTGTGCAGAAACCCACACCTTCACTGTTGGTCTGAGCGTGAAAGGACTCTCTGATTTCAGTTTTAGGACACTGTGCCCAGACCATTCTCTTATTTATCTTCCTGGTAACTGTATAAGTTTGAGAGCTCCTCAGAGCTCCTTTAGGACATAACTGCACCAATTCTCCTCTTAAATTTCAAAATTTGCCCGTTGTAATTCAAAAGACCGTAATGACCTTAAGCTGAGTAGCAAAGCTTTAGGTTGCTATAGTAATATTTACTAATATTTGTTATTTTCTAGGTTAATACTTAATGCAAATATTGTAATGATAGTTATCCTTTTTGTTTTCTTTTTTTTTCCAGAAAGGAAAGATTAAAAAAACTACTGCAGAGAAGAAAACATAACTGTCATAACCCTGTTCCTGTGCTTTTGAGCTTCTTTCACGAGAAATCAGCCTCCCACCAGAGAGACCTGCTGCTTCCCTACACATGCATGAGGAAGAACCCTCAAAAGCAGCTCCAGACTGTTGCTCTTCTCCTTCCCCACCACAAAGAGGTAGTAAGAAAGATTTTGCATTTCCAAAAGACAGCGAAGCAGCACTACTTACACCTGAAGTTCCTTCTGCAGGATTTTTTGTGCTTCTTGCTTTCTCTTTCGGGCTGACCACTCTTGGTCCGCTGGTGACCTTGAGACCTTCTGTGAGTGTCCTGCCTCCCTGTCCCAGCAGGATGAGGGCACTGGCACTGCCAGGCTGGTTTAAATACTCCTTTAGCCCTGCATTTCCACCTGTGGTGCCTTAAAGGAATAGCATCCAAAAGCTCTGGCAGGTGAGCACCACCCCACGTGAGAGCCGGGGAGCCAATGCCTGGCCCAGCTCTGCTGTCAGTCCGAGGGTGCACCCTCTGATTTACCTCCTGATTACACCCCCCCCATTGCACAACAGCCACCCCGAGGGTGGGTGGGCTCCCAGAAATGGTCCAGGGCACCTCTGCCTCCTTTAGGAAGGAGTCTTTGCGGGGTCAAGTCCGTGGAAACCCTTTCAGCCAGATTTTTGCTTGGACAGGAGCCAGGCAGCCTTGGTTTGAGGATGGTGCCTGTGCCTGCCACAAAGACACTGGGGAGCCTTAGGGGGTCTAATTTTGAGCTCCCTCCTCTTTGTTGGCACTGCAGCATCACCCTTGAGCTGTGACTGTGTTTCCCATTGCTCTGGGCAGGTGAGCCCCTTGCTGCAAGGACTGGACACATCCAGGTGGTTTTTTTCCACATTTTTTTGGAAACCAGTGTCCCTAAGAAGACCCTGATTGGCCATCCCAGTAGAGCAGGTCTGTCTGACTTCCCTGCTCTCCAGCCCCTCTGCCTCCCCCCAGCCTGGTGGGAAGAGCAGGAGTCTGGGTGAATGAAGCTGGTCTTGTCTGTGCAGACCAATAACGTTGCAAGCTCTTTAAAATCAGAAATAATTAACAGGAGCTTTGCTGCCATCTCCCACCTCATTTCTTTGCTCTCCTGCTGTGGGTGTGTCAGGAGCCCAAATACAAATTCCCTGCGAGGTGTGGGGTTGTCAGAAATGGGGGAAAAAAGTAAAATTAATGAAAATGAAAGTATTTGTACTACATGGGATGAATCATTAACCTGCTTTACCTTGTACTAACAATACAAAAGCAGTAATTCCTTCTAACTGGGGGGTCACACGGGGCTTTCCTCATCTGCTCTCAGTGAAAGCTGATGAGTTTGAACAGGATGGCAGCTCCAGCTGTTCCTGCTGTGCCTGGGAGCAGCAGGACCCTGACCTGGAGTTGGGATCTTGAAGAAATTTCTCAGATCCTAAAGCCAGCCTTGGAAGTACCTTTGATTTAGCTCAGGGTGTTGAGCTCCTTTCTTGCCATGAATGTGCAGCTTTGGAGGTGAGGAAGGAGCTTCAGAGGGTGAGGAAGGAGCTTCAGAGGGTGAGGAAGGGGCTTCAGAGGGTGAGGAAGGGGCTTC